GACTTGCCTGACCTGTCTCATAGGGGTACTGGAAGATTCAAATGTACAAGAAAGAATGAGGCTACAATAACACCCCTGTCCATCGCTTATTATTCAAGTCAATATTAAAGCAATTTTTTCTCAGTCTCTTAGCCCATGTACCGGCAAACTTAAAAAAAACAAAACCGTAGTGGACTGCAACTTTTTAAAAAGTGTTCTTGTATCAATGAATATATTTCTAGCTAGGTTGTTCTTGGTCACACAGGATCTTGATTCCTTACTCTTCTCTATTATCAAAAAGCGATAACCTCAAGATTAAGTTAGCAACACCAGAGCCTTGCCCCAACACTAAATGGCACCCAGGATTTTTGACTGTTGAGTGCATATGCTTTTTTTATCATCATTCTCATCTTTTAACACTTGACAATGCTTTTAAAAGGTGTAATGCTTTTGAAGTATTAAAAAAGCTATTCTTGGTTTTTGTTTTGGGAGACATGTTTAATGTTCCGTCTACCCCACTGTGTCAACCATTACTTCTTATACTAACCTTGGAGTCCCTGTCTTTTCTGTGCTGCTCCTCCTCTGTCGCTGAAGTATCGTACTTGGAGCATACCCTGCCCAAGCCGAGTAAGAGCAAGGAGACCCTGAGTGAGTTCCTTGGCATTTTGCTCGGAGTAGAGCACGTGGCTTCACAAGACATACCTCAGCTTCCACCACTGCCGATTGTATGGCTGCCTGGCCTGCTCTGGATAGATGAGGTTGTGAGATCAGAAATGTCCATAGATGTGAAGTTTCTACTCTTTCAAAAGGTTGTACATTTGGTATGTGCCCTAGTGGAGGGATGCCTAGGTCTCATAGAAGCTGAATAGAATTGAGCTCTAGACATAGGCATCTTGGTCATTTTTTCAGAAGTGGGTAAACTGGAGTTACACCCACCCTTCATGGCTAAAATTTACTAGATTGAGCTGTGTCAGAACCAGATTCACAGGAGGGACTCTTTGCAATTACTTCTACCAAAATATTTATCTTCAGAAGACCCAATGGAGACCCACAGGGTCAAGTGTGGATGATGTGGATTCTATAGACAGTGCCCCCTGTTGGACCAGGAGCTTCTCACTGTGTCACTCAACTCTGGCAAGGGAGACTGAGCTTCCTTTCCGTTCCAGCCCCTCGCAGCCCAAGGGAGAGGAGGAACCCAGGCTTTCAGAGTCCCCGAATACAGCAAGCTGGACCCATTTCCCGGCTGCTGGGCAATGGGGGTGTTAGACTGCTTCACCACGTGGTTGACAGTTCACACCTACCTTCCGCTCCGTAGGAGAGAGATAAGGCTGTCTGTTCCTGTAAAGGTGTGCAGCCTCGGAAACCTTGTAAAGGGTCACTATGATTTGGAATCGACTAGATGGCCGTGGTTTGGGTTTGGTGGGTAGGTAACCATGCAACTTCAGGGGGAGATACCTGTTCCAGACTTTCTTCCTCCCATCCCGCCAATCCCATGTTTTGGTCTTTTTGGTCACTCCCATGGCTAGTTGCTTTGCTCGAAAAGATGGCCGAGTTTTTCAGTTTGCCATCTGTGACAGGTGTGGCACTGGCTGCCCCCATTTCCGTTGTTGTTAGGTGCTATCAAGAAGGCGCTGACCTGTATATCACAGAGTGGAACTAGTAGTCATTCCTTTCTCTGAGCCCGCTGTCGCACCCACTGTGGGAAACCATGAGCCTACCAGCCAGAGAAAGGGATCTTCCAGCACCAGACCGGACAGTGTTCTGTTGTTATTCGGAAGGCTTCCATTACTGATTTTCCGAAGCATGCCCTGGATGCTCAACTGAACCCTGACCATGGTGGCGCATTTAAGATACTGGTGACGTAGCTTCAGGCATCATAGTAACACACAAGCTACCATCGTACAACAAAGTAACAAATGGGTGGTGGCCCATTACCAGGCCTGATGCTATTATCAACTACCAAGTTCCCGGTCTCTGTTCAATTCCAGGGCACTGAGGAGGTGATGTGTAAATAGCACGTCCAGCGGACGAGTTACATTTGAGTTGACTCTATCTCATGGTGACCACATGTGTGTCCGAGTAAAAACATGCTCCCGAGGGTTTTTGATGGCTGCATTTTCAGAAGCAGATCACCAGGCCTTTCTTTGAAGATGTCTTTAGGTGGACTTGAACCTCCAACTTTTCATTTAGCAGCCAAATGTGTTAGCTCTTTGCACCACCCATGAACTCCGGAAATAAGAACATTCATGGAATGGTATTATCCCAGTACCTGAATCACTGTTACATTTCCCAAGGGCATGTGCTCCCTGGAGACATGGAAGAGTTTAAGCATTGGGTGGGTAGCTGCAAGGTCAGTAATTTGAACCCCCCAGTCGCTCTGCAGGAGAAAGATGAGGCTGTCTTCTCCCAGAATGATGAGCAGACTCAGAAACCCCAGGGAGCAGTTCTACTTTGTCCTACAGGGCTGTGTGAGCCAGAATTGACCTGATGGCAGTGACATTGGCTTTGGTTGTTTCCGTTCTATAGCATCATGACCTAGGACAGTGCCTGGCACAAAGCAGGTACCCAAACAATATTTGTTGATTGAATACTAAGCCTCAGTTGTTAGCTATTCCTTTTCACAGATCAACAAACAAAAGCTTGAAGAAGTTCCTGAAATGTAGCCAAAATTGCACCAGGAAATAAGCGGCCGAGTCAGGATTAGAAGCTAGACAGACCTAGTCCAGAGCACAAACTCTTAGCCCCACTCCCAACCCCACCCCCCACCCCCCACCCCCCACACTGCCTTTTCTGAGCATAAAGAATGCCTTTGGTAAGGAGTAGTAGACCTCAGTTAAGTCTCTGCATTTGAGGGGAAGAAGCAGTTGGGTGTGTGGTGTTTGTGAACTGGCAGGTTAGAGAGGTGGCCTTGCCCCGGTGCCTGCAGTCCATCCATCCCTGACGCCAGAACCATAGTAGGGCCTGCCAGTCACCACTCTCCCCTACGTCCCAGCCAGTCGTCAGCTGTGAAGCCTAATTAGCACTGCCTGCACGGAACACTTTTAACCCTTTCATCGACCATAGCGCCCTAGCCCCTCTGTTCCCATCCTCCCTCCACAGACTTGTGCTCTGGCACCATAGAGCATGTTGATTTTTTAAAGAAATAGGATTTTGCTTAGGAACGTCAATTAATCAAGACTAATGTGGTAGAGCCATCATAGTTACTTAGGGCATATTACAGGCATATACAATTTTATGACTTATGAATCTTAATGCTTTCCCATTTTTGTTGTTTGTTTGATTTGCCTGAATAAAAAATTATGAAAGGGCTTCAAAAGATTCATGGAAAAATTCCATTTTCTTTTCATTCAATTTTCCAAAAACTTTTTGAAGCCCCTTCATTTATAATCCCTGCTCCATTGTTTAGATAAAGGCTTATTGCCTTTCCAAATTTAATTCACAGGTGGTTTTTATCTGTCAGCTCTATTTATAGAGTCACTGAAAGTTAAAATCTCCTTAGCAGCCATGGGTTTGGGCTTTGGGGTTTCTTATTTAAATGTTTAGGCAGTATTTTGTGATGTCTTCCAAGGAGACACAAAGCGGTGGAAATTTTACACATTTGCCAACTTTGTTTTAAATCCGTTAGCATGGTTCTATGTAGAGAGGTAACTACTGAATTAGAACTGTAGTGGGGGCAAAAGATATCTTCCTCCTGTTCTATGGTAACATCACCAAAAACTCAAGATTATAGAAAAATATACTTGGCCATTAAGAAAGCTGTTTTACCATTAAATGAAAATAACACCCCAGTTCCATCCAAGTACTTATTAAATTAAATCAGTCGAGACAGTTTTATTTTTAAGAATTCTTGAAAATGCTTCCCACGACTCCCTTTTCCTTTGTGTTTGCTGTTGGTTTTTGCGTGTTTATAGAATCACAGGCTGATGGGGTTTGGGAGATAAATATTGAATGCCTGCCTGCGGCAAGCCTATGTTCACCCTCAGATGACACCGTATTCCTTGTAGATGAACGCATCTGCGGCACACTGCTCTGTGGTTTGTTTACTTGAGAAGGTCTCCCTGACGTCTTACCTAGCATCTTTTTCTTCTGTTTTTTTTTTTTTTAGTGAAAGGAGTGAAAGAGATTTTTTTTAAGTGAAAGAGTTCAAAATGTATTTTTCCCCCCAAGTTCATAAAGATGGTTTTTGTCTATAACATTTTACTTCAGGGGTTGAATAAATATTGATATTTATGTTAGTGTTTTTAACACAAAGTATCAAGGTATCACCTACATAGTTTTCGTACTATTAAGAAATTAAAGGCCCCCTTGCAGAGGGGTCTCGGGGAGGAGATGAGCCAGTCAGTGTGCGATGTAACAACGATGAGAAATACAACTTTCCTCTAGTTCCTAAATGTTTCCTCCCCGCTCCCACTACCATGACGTGAATTCGACCTTGCAAGTCTGGCTAGACCAGAGGATGTACACTGGTACAGATAAGAACTGGAAATACAGGGAATCCAGGGTGGATGAGCCCTACAGGACCAGTGGTGTGAATGGCGAAACAGGGAGGGTAAAGGGAGAATGGGTAGGAAAGAGGGAACCAATTACAAGGAACTGTGTGTGACCTCCACCCTGGGGGACAAACAACCGAAAAGTGGGTGAAGGGAGACGTCGGACAGGGCAAGATATGACAAAATACCAATTTATAAACTATCAAGGGCTCATGAGGGAGCGGGGAGCGGGGAGGGAGGGGAAAAATGAGGACCTAATGTCGGGGGTTTAAGTGGAGAGAAATGTTTTGAGAATGATGTACAAATGCGCTTTACACAATTGATGTGTGTATGGATTGCGATAACAGTTGTATGAGCCCCTAATAAAATGTTTAAAAAAAAAAAAAGAAATTAAGGGAAAATAAAAATCAAAGAAGCAGGGTATGACTCGTTTCAAGATTGTCAGCATTTGAGCAAATGGTTCTGGTAACTGGATTTGCATTCTTAAAGCTAAGGAAATGATTTAAAATTTATTTTTAAATTTATTTTTAGGTACATTTTGATCAGTTTAAAGAAGCGCTAATACTTATCTTGTCTAGAACGCTGTCAGATGAAGAACACTTTGAAGAGCCAGGTAAGGAGACCGACTTCTCTGTGTTCACCTATAAAACTTTCCCAGGGAAGAGTCCGGCATCCTGGAAGCTTCTCTATGAATCCCTGGGTGGGGGGTGGGGGTGGGGGTGTCTATCTTTCATAGACTGAATAGTTTTTGTTTTGATTTGTTTCAGTGACTATTCTTTTGATATCATCATCAAAGCCTTGCAGCTGTTGAACACTAAAATGAGACTTCTCCACTATAACACTGTTATGGAATAAATAATTGGTTTTTTCCTGGGCGATATGTCAGATAATGTGGCAATAACTCATTCTCAGAATGAGTAGAATGAAGCTGAAGGGTACTTGTTTCATCCATCTTTCCTTTGTAAACTAGATTAGATTCTGGGATTTTGTGGAAGGATGCAAATTTTGGCCAAGTGTCTAAAAGAAAAATGGTCTAGAAATAATTTTAGTTCATTCCAATAAGTGGTGAGCCCTCTGCTGCAGGCATTCTTATATTATAATTGCTTTTCTGTCTCCCCAATTTACGTGATAATTCTTGAGGCCCGTGCTGTTCCTCTTTGTATCCCCAAGGCCTAGCGGGAAGTTCCACGTGAAGAAATCAATGAGTGCTGTGAAGTAGAAGACTCTGTTGTGCTCCATTGATTTTTAAGGCACCATTGGTGATAAGGCATTGTTACTTTATGTACTTCAATTTTAAAGTATATAATTACCAATTACGATGGTACAATGCCCCTCTTTATTAGGCATTTATATCAGTGTTCAAATCGTGTGGGGAAAAAGGTTTGCAAATCAATGATCTATAGTAATATTTGAGGGAAAGCCTGAACAATGTGGAAATTTGTGTTATAATATCGTCTAGTTTTATCAGATCAGTGGCGAGCCCTATTAAGGGCACTTGAGGAGTATGGAATGATTTATACCTTGTTTGTGTTGGTGAGGACATACATTTTTCCAACTCATAGAACTAAACTAAAAGGATGAAATTTACTGTGTGTAAACGATGCCTCAATAAGCCTGATTTGAGAAAAATGAGAACATCAAGAAACCAAGTCCAGCTTTGAGAGTGACGAGACATCCTAACGTTTGGTCGCTACGAGTCATTCAGTGTGACCTATGTAGATGAGGCACAGATGGGAGTTCATTTCTTATCCTTCTTCCCATGATCTGATTATATGAACTGGCTTATAAAATGCTCTGGGTCTGTTGTGTGAGCGAGCAGTGGATTCTAGTTGGAGGCCCCCCAGTCTTGACATTGGTCGCCGCTCCTAGGTGGGATTCTCCGCCCTGAGGCTCTCCAGAGCCCCAGGAAGCTCCCAGTGGGCTGTGCAGGGAGCCTACTGCATTCGTTACGTTCTTTAGACCCGCAGGACCGTGTCTGCGGGTGATCATGTTAGCTGTGGGTTTTTACTCCCTCACGTGTTAGGGTACTTTTTACTTTTTAAAGATTATCTTTCATCTGAAGAATAATATTGCAAGATCTGGGACCCCAAATAGTGCGATGGTGGCATTGGCACTGGCAGACATTTTCGTTACTATGAGCGCCGGGGATGTAAGCGCAAACTCAGCATTCTCCTTTCCTGTGCTGATCGTGTGCTCTCGTGCACGTTTGGGAGTGGGCACCCCTGCCAACAGTCCATAGGATCCCGCTTCCGCCTTTTCATCAACACCTTGACTGTCACTTGCCAGACAAAGTGTCATGCCATATACAGAGGTGAGAGGCCTGTGATGACTGCAGATGTGAACCGTGGCCCCTGGAGCCGAACAAGAGGATGTAGTAGACAATGGCTGGCCGAAGGCTGGTGGCTGCCCAAAAGGAACCGTTTGCAGCGCCAGCTCCAGATGGTAGTTTCACAGCCATGGGTGGGCCTCGCTGCGATGCGGCAGAAACCACCACTTGGACACGTCTGCCCGGACAACACACAGAAGGGATTTTATGGCGTCATCATGTGCTCCATCCTCGGCAGCACATCTTTGTTACCATGCTGCCCAAATTGGTGTAATGAAGCACCAAAGACACGCTAGTGGCATGTCTGTGGCTTCCTTCAAGGTGTCCTGGCAGGATAGACCCTGGGACTGAGCTGAGCCTGTGCCCCAAGAGCCTTCCCTAGTCTGTAGCTGAGTCACGCTTCCTCCCACAGTGCCTGCTTTTTCTGCCTCTCACCGTCTTTCCTCGGCCCTTGCCGTTGTTCCTGGGATCGTGCCATTCTTTCCACTCAAGCACTCCCCCTCCCACTCTACAATGTGCCCCTTGCCCCACAGGCTGTCGGGCTTTGCTGGCAAGAGGCCAAAGGGGCTTTGCCAACGGTGCCCCTCTTTGTGCACTTTAATTTTTAAATGATTTCTCCTGCAACAAGAGGAAACATTGGCTATGTTTTCTGTTGGCTGTGGCTTTGGAGGGTAGGGTCTGTAGTGGGACTGCTGGCACCACCTCTAAACCACACTGGATCAACGTGCCGCTAGAACCTGCTCTCCAGAGATTTTGTCCTTGCTTGATGCATTTTGCATTAGATTTCTGCCCTGTAGATGTTAGCATAATGCAGGAGGCCCTTTTTTCCCCTGGTGTGGTTCACATGAAATGCTTCCCCTCTGTGAGGAAGAGCCCAGGTTTGAATAAGCCAAATTATTAGAGAAATAAGGCTAGACATTGTTTCTGTACAGATTTTGTTGAGGGGCAGAGGGTGTAATGTTTTTGTAACAGACCTTCCTACTTCCAGAAACTGCCCTAAATATCATTATTTTCCTTGTACTGGGGGGAGGGGCCAGATGAACACTGTAAATATAATGAGATACCTTCTTCTTTTTTTTTTAAATTGTTTTATTAGGGCCTCATACAACTCTTACCACAATCCATACATACATCATTTGTGTAAAGCACATTTGTACTTTCATTGCCCTCATCATTCTCAAAACAGTTGCTCTCCACCTAAACCCCTGGCATCAACTCCTCATTTTCCCCCTCCCTCCCCACTCCCCCCTCCTCCATGGACCCTTGATAATTTATAAATTATTATTTTGTCATATCTTGCCCTGTCCGACATCTCCCTTCACCCACTTTTCTGTTGTCCGTCCCCAAGAGAGGAGGTCACATGTAGATCCTTGTAATTGGTTCCCCCTTTCCACCCCACCCTCCCTCTACCCTCCCAGTATCGCCACTCACACCACTGGTCCTGAAGGGATCATCCGCCCTGGATTCCCTGTGTTTCCAGTTCCTATCCAGGGTACATCCTCTGGTCTAGCCAGATTTGTCAGGTAGAATTCGGATCATGATAGTGTGTGTGTGTGTGTGTGGGGGGGGGATAGGTAGGAAGCATTTAGGAACTAGAGAAAAGTTGTATGTTTCATTGTTGCTATATTGCACCCTGACTGGCTCGTCTCCTCCCTGAGATCCTTCTGTAAGGGAATGTCCAGGTGCCTGCAAATGGGCTTTGGGTCTCCAATCCACACTCCCCCCTCATTCACTATGATATGATTTTTTGTTCTGATGATGCCTGATACCTGATCCTTTCGACACTTCGTGATCACACAGGCTGGTGTGCTTCTTCCATGTGGGCTTTGTTGCTTCTGAGCTAGATGGCCTCTTGTTTACTTTCAAGCCTTTAAGACCCCAGATGCTATATGTTTTGATAGTCAGGCACCATTGGTAATACCTTCTTAGCATATGCCCTGGGACCCAGCCTTAGGTGAGATCCTGACTTTCAGTGTTTGCAGATTTGTGTTGGAAACGACATTCATGGGCCTTGAGCAGATGCTGAAGTCTGGAGGAGGCCCCTGCTGTAGGAAGTGTTGGATACAGAGGATCTCTGGGGGTTCCATGGGTTGAGTTGGGCTGCTTCATCACAAGTCATTGGTTCAGATCCTTCCACTGCTCTGTCAGAGGAAGATGGGGGCTGTCTACTGTGAAGATTGATGGTCGTGGGAATCCTGGGAAGCAGTTCTACCCTGTCCTAACAGGCTGCTATGAGTTGGAATTGCTATGGCAATGGGTTATTATGTATAGATGGAGTTCCTTGATGGTGCAAAGGTTTAACACTGTGTTAGTCTGGGATGACTAGAAAAACAAACGCAGGGAGCCTCATATGTAAGAGAGAACTTTATATCAAAGAGCAATTGTACATTAAGGAAATATCCCAGCCCGGTCCAGATCAAGTCCATTTGTCTAATATTACCCCATATGTCAATACTGGTCCATAAATTCCTCTTCAGATGCACACAATCATGCATGATGCTGAATGCAGGAAGACCACAGGCCAGTGGGTGGAAAGCCTTGTGGATCCAGTGGTGATGGAAGCATCTCAGCGCTGACATGGGTCTCCATGTGGCGCCTCCAGTTCCAGGGCTCTGGCTGCATCAGTGTAACTCCATGTGGCTTTGTCAGCAGGAAGACGAAACAGAGTGTGTGTGTCCCACCTCCAGGGAAGAGGATAGGAGTTCCTAGAATCCTCAGGAGAGGGCCATGCTCACACAGAGGCCTCATTGGCTGTGACTTGATTGACAGGCTAGACTCCGCCCCTTCACTCTTAATATTCTCAATTTGGCACCAGATTATGTAACTACCACAAACACCTTTAGCTGCAAGCTTGACTGCAGGTGTTTAAGAGATTTGGTTGTCAGTTCAAGTCCACCAGAGGCACCTCAGAAAGCCATATGATATATTTCCCAAAATCTCAGCCCCATTGGAAACCCTATGGAGTTTTAATGGTGATTGGAATATCACCATGATTAAGGGTAAGGTTATACAGCCAATTATCATAAGGCCTATCAATAAAATTTATACCTGTAAAAAGTTGAATTGGCAAAAGTCATGATCAACATATTTACAACCAAAACAAACAAAAAAGGAAAGTAACTGCCAAGACTGCTTCTGTATAACCAAACACCTCAGGGAATTTGGTTACCTGATTAGGAGGTTTAGGGTCATGGTCTTGACCCAATAATGCTTTCACTGCTTTTGTTCTACCTCCTGGTTAATTGCATCTTGCCTGAGGCCATAAGGCTTTCAAGTGACAATCCAGG